TGGGGATCGTCACAAATTATATATAAATAATAATAACCGTATATATCACTATATAACTAAATATAAGCAATAACATTATATAACTATATATAAATCAATATAGCCGTATATATCACTATATAACTATATATAATCAAGAACACTATATAACCTAATACAAATCTATATAACAGTATATAAAAAATATATAAAACCGTATATACTAAATATAACTATATATAATCAATAACTCTACATAACTTTACATAACAATATATAAGACTATATAACCGTATATAACATAATATAACTATATATAGTTAATAAAACTAAAAAACTATATAAAATCTATAAAACCTTCAAACTACTATTAAACTAAACTGGTTTTTCTACTCGCATCAGTGGCTAAACTATTAAGCGCTAAGCGCATAAGTTTTAGGATCGTCACAAACTATATATAAATCTAAATAACCGTATAAATCACAATTTAACTAAATATAATTAAGACCTCTACATAACTATACAAAAATTTATATAACCGTATATCTCACTATATAACTTTATATAATCAATAAAACTATATAACAAAATGTAAATCTATATAACCGTACATAACACTATATGACCATATATATTAAATAACTCTACATAATTACATATAAACCGAGATAACCGTATATAACACTATATAACTATATATAAATCTTTATAACCGTATATATCATTATAAAATAATGATATATACGTATAATCAATAACTCTACATAACTATATATAAACCTAGATAACCGTATAAAACACTAAATAACTATATATAAATCTTTATAACCGTATACATCACTATATAAATATACCAATAAATTAAACTGGTTTATCTAATCGCCTGAGTGGCTCTATCCTATTAAATTCTAAGCGCATAAGTTTGGGGATCGTCACTAATTATATATAAAATATTATAACCGTATATATCACTTTATAACTAAATATAAGTATTAACATTATATAACTATATATATATCTATATAACCGTATATATCAATATATAACGATCAATAATCAATAACACTATATAACACAATACAAATCTATATAACAGTATATAAAAAATATATATAAAACCGTATAACTAAATATAATCAATAACTCTACATATCTATATATAAATCTATATAACTGTATATACTATAAAAATATAAATTCAATAACACTATATAACTATCAATATAATAATCAATATAAAAATCAATACAACCGTCCATATTACTATAAAATTATATATAATCAATAACTCTACATAACTATGTATAAGACTATATAACCGTATATAACATAATATAACAATATATAATTAATAACACTATATAACTATATATAAATCTATTTAATAAATAACTCTACATAACTGTATATAAACATAGATACCCGTATATAACACTATATAACTATATATAAATCTTTATAACGGTATATATCACTATATAAATATATAAAATCAATAACTCTACATAAAAATATATAAATCTTTATAACCGTATATATCACAATATAATTATATATAATCAATAACTTTACTTAACAATATATAAGACTTTATAACCGTATATAACATAATATAACTATATATAGTTAATAACACTAAAAAACTATATAAAATCTATAAAACCTTCAAACTACTACTACACTAAACTGGTTTTTCTACGCGCCTCAGAGGCTCTAAACTATTAAGCGCTAAGAGCCTAATTTTTAGGATCGTCACAAATTATATATAAATCTATATAACCGTATATATCACTATATAACTAAATATAATCAAGAATTCTACATAACTATATAAAAATTTATTTAACCGTATAACTCACTATATAACTTTATATAATCAATAACAATATATAACAAAATGTAAACCGTATAACACTATATGACCATATATATTAAATAACTTTACATAATTATATCTAAACCTAGATAACCGTATATAACACTACATAACTATATATAAATATGTATAACCGTATATATCATTATATAACTATATATAATCAATAACTCTACTTAACTTTAAATAAGACTATATAACAGTATATAACCGTATAAATTAATATAAATGTATATAACACTATATAACTATTTATAAATCTTTATAACCGTATATATCACTACATAATTTTATAAAATCAAAAACTCTACATAATTATATATAAATCAATATAACCGTTTATATCACTGTTTAACTATATAAAATAAATAACTCTACATAACTATATATCAGACTATATAACCGTATATAACAAAATATAACTATATATAATTAATAACACTACATAACTATATATAAATCTATATCATCAATAATTCTACATAACTATATATAAACCTACATAACCGTATATAACCGTATATAACTATATAT